CCACGTGTCGCGCATCTTCGTGGAGGACCGCCACCGCGTGCTGTACTGCGAGGTGCCCAAGGCGGGCTGCTCCAACTGGAAGCGCGTGCTCATGGTGCTGGCCGGGCTGGCCTCGTCCGCCGCCGACATCCAGCACGACGCCGTCCACTACGGCGGCGCGCTGCGGCGCCTGGACGCCTTCGACCGCCAGGGCATCCTGCACCGCCTGGGCACCTACACCAAGGTGCTCTTCGTGCGCGAGCCCTTCGAGCGGCTGGTGTCCGCCTTCCGCGACAAGTTCGAGCACCCCAACAGCTACTACCACCCCGTCTTCGGCAAGGCCATCCTGGCCCGGTACCGGGCCAACGCCTCGCGGGAGGCGCTGCGGACCGGCTCCGGCGTGCGCTTCCCCGAGTTCGTCCAGTACCTGCTGGACGTGCACCGGCCCGTGGGCATGGACATCCACTGGGACCACGTCAGCCGGCTGTGCAGCCCCTGCCTCATCGACTACGACTTCGTGGGCAAGTTCGAGAGCATGCAGGACGACGCCGACTTCTTCCTGAGCCTCGTGCACGCCCCGCGGAACCTGACCTTTCCCCGGTTCAAGGACCGGCACGCCCAGGAGGCGCGGACCACGGCGCGGATCGCGCGCCAGTACTTCGCCCAGCTCTCCGCCCTGCAGCGGCAGCGCACCTACGACTTCTACTACATGGACTACCTGATGTTCAACTACTCCAAGCCCTTTGCAGACCTGTACTGAGGGGCGGTCCCCGTCCACCCCCCCACCGGCGGGCAGGGCCCGCGCCCGTCCGGGTCCCTCAGCCGGGAGCTGAGACTTTCCCAGAGCGCAGGGCTCCGAGGAAGGGAGGGGCCGTGGCCGTCGGAAGGGCGGGCCTTAGGAGGGGCCGGAGGCTCCCGGGCCTGCGTGGGGACCCTGGCCTTGGCCGGGGGAGACGCAGAGGGCTGGGATGCGCCCTGGCCCCCAGGGCTTGGCCAGGAGTTGCAGGTGACCAGGGAGTCTGAGGCCCGGAGGACCGGGGCCCCAGCAGTGAGGGATTTCCCGCAGTCCCTTAACCATTGCCTTGGAGCAGACCGCATGGTTTGCAGCTTTTCTACAACCCAAGGGGGGGTGCCCTTGGATGGAGGTTCCAAATAAAGCACATGGTTTCCAAAGCAGTAGTGTCTCCTCTGTGGGGTGTGGGGACCCATGGACCCTTTCTGCGTCCCCACTGCGAGGCTCAGGGAAGGTGCGGCCTGCGTGGGAGGGAGCAGAGAGGACCCAGGGGCTGCAGCGACCCTTATGCCTGCCGGGCCAGGGCTCGGTTAGCTGGTCCTCTTGTGTGTCAGTACCAGTATGTTCATCCTGAAAGAAGATAGGCCTGGCCCCACGGAGGCCTGTCTTGTCAGTGCACCCTGTGGGGGCCCGCTGGGGACTGCCAGAGAGGTGGCCAACTGTCTGGACAAGCTGCCAATCAGGGCTGAGACTGGGGTCAGCCGGCACGGTGGGGGGCTCTCAGTGGGTGTGGCTCTTCGGACAGAAAGAGATGCTTTCCCTGGCCTTCTGCACTTCCAGGCTAAGCAGGGCTTTGGCCCGAAGCTGACGCCTACAGACCCTCCCCCTCACCCTGGTCTCTGGGTGTTCTCGACAAAACCACCTCGAGGCTGCCAGGATTGCCTGACCCTGGATGAGCCAGCTCTGGATGAGGGGGAGGAGAAAGTGCAGAAGAAACTTCTCCAAAGGAATATGCTTTTACACCCCAAAGGGTTCTGAAATTGTCAAAAGCCAGCGTGATTCCGGAAGGGTGTCGGAGGAAGCTGTTGGAGCTTTGTGGCTGCAGCAGGGTTTGGGGTTTGTTTGTGATGGGAGGCACTGCCCGACCATTTCTGGGGCTCTCTGCCCTCTGTCTGTCAGCCTGTGTCTGCCAGGGACCTCTGCACACCCTTCTGAATCTTCCCGTGGGTCATGTGTTCCCTCCCAGGAGATGGCTCTCCATCTGTTCCCACTTGCTAGGGGAGGTGATTTTCGATCCTAGAGTGGGGACACAGCCCATCCCCAGGCAGAGGCACTGCTGGGTCCTGAGACGGGACACCTGCTGGATCCCCAGGTGGAGACACTCACTGCTGGACCCTGAGACGAGACGCACTTCCAGATCCTGAGGCAGAGACGCTGCTGATCCCCAGTGGATGTGCTGCTGGGATCCGCCAGGCTCCCGCCGGCCTGTGCTGCTCCGTCTCCCCTTCCGCCTCCACCCTGGGCTCTGGAACCTTACAAAGGGGAACAGGGTGCTGAGACTGTCTCCTGCCTCCACAGGGCTGTATCCCTGGGCAGCGATGTGACCTCCCCTGGGTTCCGGCTGAAAGTGGCCTGGACCCTCTGACAGGAGGGACCCCGACAGGCAGGGAGAAGGCTTCGATCAGGGCCTGAGGGATGCCTGGAACTCACAGAAGGTGGGAAGGCAGAAACCAAGGGGCTCAGAAAGCCAGAGACTGGCCTGTCACTCGGCCAAGGCCAGGGTCGGTGTACAAGGAAGCAGGCAAGGGCCTGGCCGATGTGACCCAGAAAGCTGCCCTAAGCTCTGGCGCTCACCGCGTGAGACTGAGTTCACAAGCAGACAAGGTGTCCCTGGTCATGGGTACATTTGGTGACGCCTGAGGCACTGTCACCGTGTCATCTGCTCGGCAAGGGGACACCTGGATGCCCAGCGCTGCTGCTTAGAAGCAATCAGAAATGCCCTTCCCCCACCCCCATGAGAGACAGACAGAGAGAGAGAGAGAGAGAGAGAGAGAGAGAGAGCGAGTATGCGCATGTAGAAGACATCTCCACTTGTGTCATCTCTCAGACACTCAGGCCTGAGCTGCCCAGGACACACATACAACACAACCATCAAAGAGAGGCTCTCCTCCCGGGTGGTGATGATAGGAGATACAGGGTCCAGGCGGTAGCCATGATCCCTACTTGAGGACCCCAGCATGACCTCCAACTGAAGTCCAGAGGCCCAGCCCTGAAACGCCACCAGAATTCACCGCGGTGGTGCCGGATTCAGCCTCAGCCCCAGGCCTCGCAGGGCCTGGTGACAGTGGACTCACACTCGCATGGGTCTGAACCTGGGCTGTGGGGTGGGTGGGTGTGTGCATGTGAGTCAGTGTGTGTCTGGGGTGAAGAGTGTGAGTTTGTGTGGGGGGGCTTTTAGCTGTGTCAAGGGTAGGACTGTGGACAGTCCGAGTCCTCCTACCTCCCTGGGACTATCTTGTGATGCCCCCTCCTCTCCCCTTCCCCATCCACTCACCACATTCTGGGCATAGTCTGGAGGGGACTGTCTGATCAGGGATCCAAGAAGAAGCCACCGACAGTTTGCAGGAGTCAGGCAAGTCCATCAGGTTGGGAGAATAACCGCCCAAGTCCCAACACCCTCTCCCCGCTTGGTCCCCCATGTAGGGCCTCTCTGGGGCAGCCTCCAAGGAAGACCCCACCAGGCCTTTGCCCTTGAGTGCCTGAGACCTTCCCACACGGAGCCCTGCTCTCTGAAGGATGAAGATGGCACACGTCTCAAAGCCTAGGGTCCCTTCTGGCCTGGGAGCCCCCAAGGCCTTGTGTCTCCTGGGGAGATGAGATTCAAAATCCAGACAGATGGCCAGGTGGGAGATGCAGGCCACTCTGACCTCGAGACACAGCCAGCGCCTCCTCCTCCTCCTGTCTGTGTGGACGTACAGAGTCTGTCCAAGGGACCCAAGGCAAAATAAAGCAAGCAGTGGACCGAGGGACCGCTGTCCAGCACGTTCCCCCACTCTCAGACCGGGCCGTTCATCAATTGTATCCTGGGGGTAAGTCGCTCAGTGGGGGACAGAAGTCCATGGACAGCCCATGGCCCCAAGGCCTGGAGGAGGCCTTATCTCGTTGCCGCGTCTCCTCTCGGCCCTTGCCTCTCCAAGGAGCGCCCATGACCAATCAAAGGAACGTCCTGCTGGCATCCCTCGCGCCTCTCCTCCCTCCACAAGTGTAGGGGCACCCAGAGCTGGGCACGGGGCACTCAGTGGTGACCCAGGGGCCCAGGAACTGGGAGCGTGGGAGCTGGGGGGTGGGCGGTCATATGGGCTCAAATAACATTGTCCCCAGCTCTGGACCCCTGTGCAGATGGATGCAATGACTTCTAGATGAGGAATAAGCAGGGGTCCCAGGAGGCTGCACCTGGGTGTCGGGAAAAGACAGAGTGCACTAGCCCCGACTGCTCTGTCCAGGCTCGGGGAAGCCGTCTGAGGGCCCTGAGCACCCCGTTTCTTTCCACTGTCCTGGCCTGGCTGCTCCCTGATGCCTCACACTGCCTAGAGGGACACTTGGGACAAGAGGTGGCAGCAGAGGGTGGCTAGGGTCTGAGCCCGGCTGGCGCCTCTAGGGGACAGATACTCAGGAAGGGAGGGGTGGGGAGGGTGGACCGGGAGCACTTGAAGCCGGGGGCAGAGGCAGGGGGACGGTGAGGAGTCATACCCAGTGCCTGGGTGGCCCTTCCGCATGGCCTGGGTGTGCCAGCCCGAGTCAGGTGCTGGGGCTGTGCCGGGCCCCCACGTGAGCCGCCCCAGCGGCCCGGTCCACGCACGCCTCGCCCTCCTTTGCAGGTGGGGAGACCGAGGCTTGGCCAGAGCTGCACAGGCGCGGGAGCTGGAGCTA